ATATCGCCTCTTCAACTGGTCAGAATGGTGCCCCACCTGTTTCTGTACCTCAACATGTCAATCTTAATTAGGCCGGGATAGGAAGTGTGAAAAAAGTTACGAAATTATTGAATAACTAGATTTACAGCCTGCTTTGCTCAAAATTAAGCCTATTAAAAATCATATCAAAACTATTCACTATTACAGATAGGAGAAAAGAACCCAAAGCAGTGACTTATTTACTTGTATATGGTATTGCATAAATCTTTAAATTACCAGAACAGCAAAATCAGAAACAGAAGAAATAAAAAATATCCTAAAGTTTATTTTCCAAGAACTTAGGAAATGTCGTTAAGAAGAAAACATCTTTTAATGTAATATCCGGATTTTAGAGGAAAAAAATGCGGGATTAAAAATGCTGAAACTATCTCGGTATTTCCCATATTATTTTTTTTAAATTCTTATTACATGTTAAATATGTTAATTTTAGTGTTTTCATTTCTCTTTTTTTGAACTCTATTTTGAAATGTATTGTTGATCTCGAAATGAAATGCCACATAGTGCAAAGTAATCCATCCGCTTATTAAACTAATTATTTGAAGTGCTCTTCTTTATTTCCCATAAAATCTTGTTAATTGTTTCGATAATTTTATTTGGTTCCATTTTTTTCAGGTCTTTTTCTTTGGTTGTATTAATTTCAAATTTCTTATTTTTTTATCATTTTTAAATGCTTCATAAATATTTTGAAAGAGGAAAATAGAATTTTGTTAATGTCGCTCTAATAAATGTTTTCTTTTTATTTCTTCATACTATTATCACCATTAATATTATTACCACTGTTTCAACCATCCCTTCATTCGACAATGGTTATTTTCATTTCGTTTTTGTAGTGGTTGTAATTCGGGTAAAATGTCTTGTAGTTTTTCTTTTTTGCAAACACGATCTCGAAAATCATTTTCAATTCCGACAAATTTCACTGCCGGTTCAAATTCAATCAACACCAACGGTGCAAATACTGGTGTAAAAAAATTTCAAAAGCAAATAACGAAAATATGGAAAATGATGAAAAATTAAATTCCTCCAAAAAAAAATAATCTAAATTAGAAATTGAAAGTTTTTTGAGCGCTGATAAAAAAGGAAACTGATATTCTTTAGAAACCAACAGGAATGATTATCCTCATTATGCAAATAAAGAACTAATCCATGGTGGGTAGCAGCTTGAAATTTGTAAGTAGCTACAAGATTTGTTTAACAGTTTTTAAAACCACTAAACAGTTAAACGAATAATTGTGGAAGCCTATGCAAACAGAATCATTACTCTTTAATTTTACTATCCAAGATAAGAGTGACAGGACCATCATTTTCAATCTGAACATTCATCATCGCACCAAAACGACCATCCTACAAATTTATTTAATTAATTGCTTAATTTTCACTTCAAAAATTTAAAGAAATACGAAATATTAACAGGGTACCATATTTTAAGGATTTAACTTTCTTTACAAATAAGGTCAGATACCGGAAAAAGCAAGGAATCGAGAAAACAAAACAGACTTTCAAAAAAGAAAGAACCTTTATGCGTTCAGGTATGTAAGCCTTTTTTAGCTCAGTTATAAAATTTTGATAAAACTGTTGCGATTCTGTATGTGCCATCGATCGATGAAAATCCAATTTATTGCCTTTTAACAAGCTATACAACGTGAACTGAAAAATGAACTTTAATGAGGAGTTTCAAATTGCGTATGTAAATGAAGCATGGTAAGCATGAAAAAAATGAAGCATGATAACCCAGATTTAACTTTAATTCAAATCCAATAATTTCTTAAATCATTCCCAACGGAGAATTCAAATTAAATACATTTGTATTCTTTTTTTTCCTTGCTATTAATATGAATTATACTTACTTGGCTTACACAAAGTATCTCAAATCCCAGATCTTTAACACTCTTATCCCATCGTTTATCTGTCTCAGCATTTGGAAACATTCGAATATTCAACAACTTTCGTACCATATACTGTACATCATCCGAGGTATCCTCAACATTGATAGCCAATAGAACACATATTCCTTGGCCAATTGATGATTCCTAATGAGAAAAAAAAAATCAAAATAATGTTCTAAAAATATCAATTTTTTTTTTTTGGAGTGTTTGAGAATTGTTGATCCAAAAAAAGGAAAAGCTGAAACAGTACTGACCAATTGACCATCAACGAATACGGCAGCTTTTGTGACACGTTGTATTACAGCACGCATTTCAAATAGTCAAAGAATAAATTATTAATACTCAATAATTTGCTAACATTTCATTTTATATAACATTTGGAAAAACATATAATTATAACGCCCACTATCTGTTAACTCGTTTTTATTTCCTGCAATGAATTTTAATAATAACAAATGATATGCTGAACAATTAGCATGGCACACACATCCTCAATTTGTTACATCGCAGACAAAATCGTAAACTGTTATATTAGGAGGTACAGGAATCCGTAATCTATTACACTACAAAAAACTCCGTGATCTATTAATAGAAAGTACAAAAACCCCGCGATCTGTTACACTAGAAAGTATGAGAATCCATGATCTGTTACATTAGAAGGTAGAAGAACCCGTAAACCTTACACTAGAAGATACAGAAACCCTGATCTGTTACAGTAGAAGGTAGAAGAACCCATGAACCGTTATAATGAAAGATACAGAAACCCTGATCTGTTACAGTAGAAGGT